AAAAAATTTATTTAAATAACTAAAAATATGTGTGGTGTTTAGTGACCGTTAGTCAATGATTATTCGGAGATCGTGAGATGCGGTCATGTGTGATGTAGGTTTAGAAAAACATTTTCTTTATCGTGCCAACGTTTCGATCTTTATTAAGATCATCATCAGGGCTTTGGATTTCTAAACATTGTTTGAATTTTACAAATACATGTAGGATGTTTTTTTTAGACCGCATCTTTCTTGATTTCTTGCCTAACACTTCAGGGCAACATCAAATTTAGCAAATTTGTCAAAGCTTGGCTAATCCCATGAGCTTAGGGTGGGTGCTGGGGTGCTGTTTTTTCCCTTCAATGTTTCATTACTTTATTGGCAACACTGATTTTTTTGGCGCCAATCTAAACTATCACTAAACTCATGGGATTTCTCGCTAACCGTATAACAAAAGTACTAAAGACATTAGGCCGTAAAGCGTTAAAATCTCCAAACCTCCCTTGTAAGTAAGGGTGATTATTATTATATAATTTACAAGTGAGGAATATAAATTAGCTCTTTTTTATTTCAGCCCAATAAAACTTCCATAGACTGGATATGCTGTTTGAATTAACTATGCTTTTGTACGGACAATTATGGGGGGGGGGAGATTTCCTAAGCATTTAAGATGTGAGAATTTACAGTAAACTGTTAAAAGTAAAAGCCATAAAATGTGTCTGTAGCAACCTGTTGGCCTTTTACGATCTGTCTTCCTATCTTCGCTGGTTTGGCCTGCTACTTATAAAATAGTTTTATATTACTTTTATCATTACTTATCACTTATAAAATGGACATGGCTGACTGAATAGCCCACTACCAATCATCGAAGATAGCAGATCAAACAAGGATCCTATTTCATTTTCCCCTTTAACATCTCTCGAACGAATGTTGGCTGTGAAAAATACATAAGAACTTAATCGTTGGGCCTTTACAATAAATTCTCACCATTGGATGAAAGCTTGATTGATTTAAGTAAGTAATTCCTGTCATACAGTACGGCTTAACGTCCAACTTCCCGTTGGATATCACGGACGATGGTTCCCACCATATTACAATACATTTTTTCGTATTATACCATTAAAAGTCCATGAGCTGTGGCGGGATTTGAATCCAGAACTTATAGCGTGGGAAATGCGAGTCGTCTTGGTCTTCAAATCACTTGGAATCACTCGGTCTTCTCCGTCCAGCCGCCGGAGGCTCCAGGGGCTGTCAAAGCTCATTTCAATTCCCAACACATACAATTTTAAAATTCAGAAATCAACAAATCTCACTCATTCTTAAATATATTCTTTCTTATTTACATCATTCGAGTCGGGTAGAGTACTCTGACATTCTGTTACCGATTTCTACATACAATTAAATTGAGGGTTGAAACTCAATAGTCCGCCATCTCACACTATACATTTAGCTAATAAATACATTCACTCTCAATATACACAAAATGAAATATCTGCCTTTAGGTGCAATAAAACAGCCTTGGTTTTTAGAACAATTGGAACAGGGAATACTCACTACCATGTTCCTACCTTGTTCTAAAACAATTTTCATTCCTACTCGCTCTCTATGTGGAGCCATTTCAATTATGCGGGACAAATCGTGCAAGCTCTGCATACCGGATTAGTATTGGCGCTCCGCTCGCGAGCTGATAAGTCAACTCACTTTACTGATCGTGCTATGAGTCGCTCTGAGAAAGAAAAAAAAAGAGCGGAAGCACTGATATACACTCTTTAGCTACCATCGATTAATTTTGAACCACCACCTAGTAATTTCTACGCATGGAATTATGGGTGTGATATAAATTTGGTGAAGACGAGCGATGAGCCATGAAAAAGAGCTGATTCCTTTCACTGAGTAGGTGGTTTTCATTCGATCCTTAAAAAGAGACGTTTTTCCCATCTCTTGTCGAGGAAGTACTCAATAGATCAGCCCTCCTAAACTATACATTCACGCTAATGAATGTATTCACTTTCAATATACAAAAAGAAACAGGAAATGAGGTGTCTTCCTTGATGTGCAATAAAACAGCCTCGTTCCATACACAAACCGGAATAGTGGAGTACTCCACACACCGGACACAAACGCAGAATTTGGCTCAAAAGTAGTACATGTCTCATGTTTCAGATCCTCCGAGGACCATTTATCGACAGTACTCTTATTCGCAGAAGCTTCTCTTTTTCATTTCCTTTAAGTGTTCAGGTCTATCTGCCGAAGAAAATTTGTTTAAACTCTTCCGTGAATGTTTCTTTCTACAATGGTAACTGGAAGAACGATGGTTAAAACAACCATTTTATAATTTTTTGATGTCACTGCATTTTACTCCCTACCAAAATAAACAATCACGCCAAATTTTTACATACAAGATTCAGACGTGACAGTAAATATTTTTCATCGGGTCATCACGTAATGTACGTTTACATCTGACACTTTCGTCCGAAATATAAGTCGATTATCAGACAGAAAATCTCTGAGTGTTTACATATTGATAGAAAGTACTGGAAATTTATATCATGGATATGTAAACTACAGTTCTCAAAATGCGAAACTTCGAAAAAATATACGACCTGTTTGCTTACAAGATAGGCTTTTGTGTATACTTGTGTCCTATGTACTTTTATATCTCTTTCATTCTGCAGTGTTTGCAGAATGAAAGATTTTATGTTTGCACGGTGAAAGCATCGAAACGCAAAATTGCGATCTGTGTAATGACTATTCTATTATTCTAAAGATGAAAATGACGAAAAAACCTACAAGATGGATTCGGGAGAGGGTTTTGAAACGTGAAGCAGTCGGTACCTACAATAAATTAATGTCTGAACTCAGTATTGAGGATCCATTCAATTTTCGAATTTTTGAAGAATGAAACCAGCTGATTTTGAAAAGCTTCCGTGTAAAATTGGTCCTCTTATCAAAGCAAGATACCAAATTCAGAAGATCTATTAATGTAACAGAACGACTTGCTCTAACTTTGCGATTTTTAGTATCTGGTAAGTAGGTACTACTATTAAATAAAATAGAAAAGATAAATGGTGGAGTGAGTGTTTTGTTCAATCTTTTTAAAAAGATAGTTCCTACTCACAGTAAGTTGTTCTCAATGATCCGGATTTCGAGCCTACAGCTCATCATCAGATTGTAGAGCTCCTCCAACCTGATGATGAGCTGTTCGCTCGACATCCGGATCGTGAGGACTTACTGTGAGTAGGAACTATCTTTTTAAAAAGATTAAATAAAATCGTAATTTTAATTTTTTTAGATTTAAACCACTCTTTTTTTCACTCAAGTTTACGCGAATCTTATTGCAATGCCAGAAAAGTAGACGAATGGCCAAGTGTCGAACTTGTAAATAACCGATGTTTACATCTATTGGTGTAGAAGTGTCGACGCAAATAGCTAGTAGAAATGAAAATTAGTGGAGTGAGAGGAAGTTGTTCAATATTTTTAAAAAGATCAAATAGCCAGTGGTTGAAATCTATACATCTCTGACATAAATTCTTCACTGCTTACATTAGCCAAGATTTCTGTCTGGAAAAAATATCATGCAATAACTGTCAGATGTAAACGTACCTTTAGATCGGTCGGAAGCCGGTTGTCGGTGGCCCTCAGAGACAATCTAATTCATTTCTCTTTCAAATCTCTTTACGATCTCTAAACGAGATCAACTTGAAAACAGTGTTGCGGAAATAAGTGAATTTCAAGACCGCAACATTTTGTCAGTATGACAAGTAGATGGATATTTCCGAAAGCCTTCTAATGTCATATTGAGAACACGCATTAAATTAATCTGAGAGACGTGTTACTGACAAAAATTACCAATCTAAAAGTTGTTTCTCCCTAAAATAATCGCAGATATGTAGTCGACTCATAAAGTGCATTAACTTTCATATATTTCAAAAAAATCTTATTGTATACATTAAAACTTAAAAACAATAAATCAAGGGATTTTATTTATTTATATTTATATATACCAAAGTTACAATGGTACATAGATAATCTGTCAAGAATATACATAAATAATAAAAACCTAAATTTAAATGAGTTATTAGTTGGCAGAACTGTTGGTTGCAAGTTAAAATAATATACAAAAATATAAATAATGTATTATAAAGCTAAACTTTTAAATTTAAGAAATTCAACAATGGAATAAAAGGACTGTCTCGAAAAAACATCCTCAACATAGCGGAGAAAGGCTTTTAAAGGCTTATTCTTGATCGAACCAGGAAGGTGATTATACAATTTAGTGCTCACATGCACATCGGATTTGTTGTTGTGAACTTTGTTTCTTACAACAAAAAAAATATTACATATATTTATTTAGAAATCGTATCTCTGGACACGACACGCAAGAATGGCACAATTACACAGAAGACAAACACTTTGAGCCCTGAAGATGATCTCAATAAAGATCGAAACGTTGGCACGATAAAGAAAATGTTTTTCTGAAACCTACATCACACCAGACTCACGATTTCTAAATAAATATCGATTAACGGTCACTAATCACCACACATTACACATACGTAGGACCTCTTAAAAATTCATCACTCATTTAGATTTTGTCCATATTATATTGGGTGGTTGTCCTTCCTCTTCATTGCATAGCCTACAAACGGGGTCATCATTGCATATGCCCATGTTGTATAACTGGGTAGGTGTTTTCTCAGATGCCAATGACCTGAATCTTCTCACTCCCCTGAGTTTTACCCTTTTCAGCTGTTGCAATGCACCAGGTTTGGTGAGGGACCTTTAATCATAAGTTTGTGAGTTGGTAGACACTATCTGTTTTATGCTTTTAATTTGCAACCTTGATAGAATTGTTTTCTTCTTATCTTATTTTCATTGCTTATTCAAGCTACCTATTGTTGTGATAGTACATTGCCTGGAAACGACCAAAATATAGGATCAACTCCCCGCAGAACCCAAAGAAGAAATCCAACAATAAATTCGATTGTTGAACTCTTGTTTTTCTATTTTATTGTTTGCAGATTATCCCGAGGGAGGATGTCCTCTGGTCTCCGTTCCTCTCCTTCGTTTCGCTGAACTCGATGAAAACCGAAGCGATTCAGGTAAACAACCAATAATATTTTCACACAAGTTATTTCTCAAAAAATGAGCTTAAAAATTAGTCTAACTATTATAGAATTTTTTAAAATTTAATTAGCCTTGCTACAATTAAGCTTGGAATAATGAAATAAACTAAGTCATTTTTATTTGTCGCGTTATATATTTAAAAAGGGGAGGATGTGTCAAAACCTGTTTGAAGGACACTGGAGCCGGTGGGAAAGAAGTAGAAGGATTTTCCTTTGACGGCAAGGAGGCCAAAGTGAAAATAGATCGTTTCACGGGTTTAAGGGATTGGTTTATTGCCTTTGTATAAAAAGTGAGATAGGGAGGGTGTAGAATTAGGAGGAAGGCCGGGGCCCGAAATGTTGGATAATACAAGATTTATGTCTAAAGCAGAACCACGGAAGGGAATGATCGCCTCATCTCCCCCGCGCTACCTGTCCTTTTCAATGTCCCTTTCAGTGACCTTACCCAATGTTTGTTACCAACAGTTTGTTGACCCTGAATTTTCCTTTCGTTTCCTTACCCCGGCAACAGTTCACACATGGAAAAAAATTAGCCCTTTTCCTCATATTATAAAGGGAAGGCACTGAGCAGTTCATAACGACCATATCCTTGTGTTGTTCTTTTTTTTTCGTTTTACCGCCACCTACATTTCATTGTGAAGTCACCCCCTTTGCTTTTTACCTCCGGTGCCTTAACAATAATTTGGTATGCCCCTGGGTGAGTTGATCGGTATTTGCCACAGGGAAAACAGTCACTTTTGTCAACCGACCGAAACGACTTATCCGTTTTTCTGTTTTTTTTAGTATGGAATACATTTTTCATTCAATTTATGCATCTAGCCGGATATAAAAATTGTTGCAGAAACTTCTAATCACAGAAAAAACATTTCACCCAGGTAAAAAAATCAATTACTTGTCCAATTCTCAACCAATTATAATGATTATAACACAACGTTGATTCTTCTATAGTAGAACTGGTGGTTTTCTGCAAATGCTATATAATAATAATAATAAATAAAATTAGTATCGATGTATTTGATATCTCAGTTCCTTCTTCAAGCTTTCGTGGAATACATATATCGGCATTGTAACCTCCATCAACTTATCTTAATTGGTACCATCGTGGATAACCATATGGAGGTTACAAATAAGCTCATTTTCACAGAAGACGGACAAAATGTGTAGTATGTAGATTGTTGAAAATATTGAAACTATTATTTATAATGCAAAAGGTTAACAAACATGAACAACTACTTACAATACTGACACTTATGTTTTCAAACATAATGGATTTATGAGTTGACAGTGGACTAATACGTAAAACTATTCTATTCAACCTCCATTTGGTTATTCTAATTTGTTCCATCGAGGATAACCGTGTGGAGGTTACCAATAGTTTATGTTCACAGAAGACTTCTACAGACACAATTTGTAGTAAATAGTAATAAATAGTTGTAAAGATTGCACTACATATGAGAAAAAACTGCGTAAAATTTTGCATTTTTAAGATTCTGGTTTTATGGCAAAAAAAGCCTTTAGGTTTATTTCTTGCTTTCCTTTTTGTTGGATATGGATGAAAATCTGGATTATAAAGACTTCCTAAGCTTTTCCACCCTTTAGAGAACAAAGTTAGAAAAGCTTACGAAGTCTTTATAATCCAGATCCTTTAGGTTTAATTTAATAAAATAGTCTGATAAACAATAATTAATATTCTATATCGGAATTGTAACCTTAGGCTGGTTCTCCAGATTTTGATAGAATATAATATCCAACACCAGGTGGAGGTTAGAATTACGATAGTTTACAAGTACGATAGATCACATTGCACTGTCAATTAGGAAATTCGTTATGTTTGAAATGATAAGTTTCACTATTTTAAGATAAGTAGATATTCAAATTTGTTAACATTGTGAATTAGTTTTTGAAGTTGGAAAGTCCAGATGAAGGATGTACATTATTACATCTGGAAAGCAGCGTCAAGACGTTTTTAATGGACGTGCTAGAGTTGGCAAAGGAATTCCCAACCGAAAAAATATCGTTTTCTGGTAAGATTTTTACTCTTGGAAGCATCACTGGAAAATAGCTTACGATTTCAATTAAATAACCTGAGCTAAATGAGTAAGTTATTGAAGCAACAAATGCCAAAGTTGGAATACAAAGTTATGAATGACCTCTTGATTATTAATGGAATTAAATTAATCTGGGAGGTAAACTCTCTATGGGACGAGACTTCTCAAATGTGGTGGAGGTCCACCGAGTGCCACTTCTACCATGGGACATGGCAGATACGCTCGTCTGTGGGACCTATGATCACAAGCAGTAGTCTTCCTCCGACGACAATATATTGGGAGATTTCGTCTTGAGACTTGTAGTTTGGTCAGTTCCGACCTTTCTGTTATGGCTATACTTGTTGTTTTGAAGCAGAGAGGTCAGAGCAGTTTTTTTTTTTTTTTTTTTTTTTTATTATTATTGGCCTTATGATCTTTGCATATTAGCCATGACGAATTCTTATATATGTTGTTCAAATTGGGGGTTATCGGGAAAAAGGGCCAGAGGCGACGGTGGGAATCGAACCCACGACCGCGGCGGAGAGTCTCTCATGCTAACCACTCGGCTACCGCGGTCCCCAGAGCAGAGTTGGACGAGAATGATTGGAGGCTTACAAATTGATATTTGTTTTAGTACCAAGCACTAGATGACGTGGTAAATCAAAGATAAATAGGAATAATGCAGGTCACAATATATCAGAAAGCGATTGTCGGGTTAGGTCCAAAGTTAACCAATGTCATTTCACAACCCAATTTTGGAAATTAGGTTAGTGTTACTGTGTGAGCAGATCACAAATTTTCATGTCAAAACTTGTTTACTCGCTATAATAGAAGGGTGAATGTCGGTTGCGTAAATTAATAATACAATAGGCTTTTTTTCTTATTTCCATAAACTCCAGCGGATTGAATATAAGACGGAAAAAAGAGATGGCTGTCGGGGGGCATTTGTTCAGCGGAAACTGGATTTGAGATAATTCCATCAAGCGAATGGTGAAGAAAAATTTGGGAATCGTGGAAAGAAATAAAGGGGGATGGACGGCACGGAAAGGGGGAAAAGATGAGATGCCCTGCGGTCGGCATCTGGCCTTACCCAACCGAGACTCTGAAGGAGGGACCAAATCGATTTTATCCTAGACAACCAACATGTGTTCGGACCTACCGTCTCCATATCGTGTCACCTGACGTAATCGATTGCCCTTTTTCCATTTCTTCCTAGAATTCAATTAAAGGGTTTATCTGACGGGATCTCCATTTTAAATTCGAAACGGGCCCCGTGTTTACATCGATAAATATTAACTGCCGCCTTGTCTCGGGTTGTCGTTGTAAATATATTAGCCTAATGCTGCGCCAGTCCTATCCAGGGGCTTATCCGCCCTGTGATTAGCACGTCTTTACTGATCCATCAGAACGTTTCACTGACATTTTATACATTGCAGATTAACCTGTTTGAATTGACAAAAAAAAGTCAAACGTACAAAGTGTCCCTAAAGGAAGAAACTCTAGCACAAGGACAACAGATATGAGATTTACATGTTATAAAGCAACTTGTAAGAATTGTGTTTCATTTTTCCTATCGAGACCCTTCCGAAACGAAAATTATATTGCAACTCCATACGCTTAGTTTTATTATGGCGAACCATCTTTGAGGAAGCCCTGCTGGAAAGCCATAGAAGTTAAAATGATGGACTCTAACGGATATAACATCGGTCTTTCTTGGGTTATATAAAAACTTTAATAAAAGGTGAAGCGAATAAAGGGAAAGGAAATACAGGTATCACCCGTTACAGTTATAGACGATATCGAACTGATTCATTCTTGTCCAAATCGTAAAGCCGAAGTTGGGCAAAGAAACATGGCATTCATGGAACCTCATAGAAACGATTATGTACTAAGTTCTAAAAAAAATGTTGTTCATGCCCAAATAAAAAATTAACTGTTCTTGCTGAATTGGTCTGCATATTTTCAATGCTATATGGTTATATAAAAAGGACATGACCGACTAAATTAAAAAACGCTCTAATAGAAAGGTGGTTGACTAAAGTGATTTTAAAATCCTACACAATACGGTACGGATCTATTAGAAAGTAACTAGCTGATAACCTAGCCAACGATGGGGTCCTCAACAGTGCAATAGCCGAAGATCATGCTACTTGTAGAACAACTTCCCAGGACAAAGGCAAGAGTCTTCGATAAAAAAGCCTCGCCTAAGCTTGCTAGAGACTTGCTGCAACAAAAGACAGGGTCATTGAATATCTGCTAACCTAGCATTTTAAAATATCAGAAGTAGCAGAAAACAGCCAGTGTACGTTCTGCCAAGGAGAATAGAAAACCGCAATCCATATACGATACTGTGAAGGCAAGGCGAGAGAAATGTTTCTTCTCCCTGGCAAAGAAAGCTAATAAATTCTGAGGACTATCAATGCTGTCGAGGCTAATTAAAACTATAAAACTGTACAGTTTCGTCCAACTAACAAACCCATGCTCAAAAACTGTCATTTTCACCTTACTAGCTCTGGCAAGCACTTGTTACAGCTAAAAAGGGGAAAAATTAAATGGAGTGATAGGCCTCAGGTCAATGCCACCTGAGAAAACTCCTAAACAACATGGATATTCAACAGCGTATTCAATGATGACCCCGTTTGTGGGTTATGCAATGAGGAGGAAGGAACAGCCACCCATATTTAGAATCCGAAACAAATGCTCAATGGCGTCAACACATGGAACCAAGGAGACCAGGGAAAAATAAATTCTTTTTAAAGCCGAAGTTGGGCAAAGAAACACGACATTCATGGAACCTCATAGAAACGATTATGTACTAAGTTCTAAAAAAAAATCTTGTTTATGCCCAAATAAAAAATTAACTTTCTCTCTGCCTGTTCTTGCTGAATTGGTCTGCATATTTTCAATGGTATATAGTTATAAAAAGGACATGACCGACTAAATTAAAAA